ATCTTAACCAATGTAAACTGAACATCAGCTGCAGGAAAACATCTGTGATTCAAGATCAAACTAAATGGGTCAGAATTTCAGACAGAGAACTGGGGCTTGTTCCAGCTTCCACTAAAACCAGCTGGAAGGTTTCTATGTACTTTGACTAACACAGGCACTAGCTGCTCCTTCTCTGTTAGAAGCAATGGAAATTTTGCCACTGACTTCAGATACAGGAGAATTAAAGCTGTGTGCCTTGGTATAATTATATAGACAGGCATTTCAAAAGGAAACAAGAATCAGATGCCTATGTGAATTACATCTCTTTTTGAAAGGGAGACACTGTGAGTGGAGAAGGATTATGGGTATTTTATATTTTTTTATACAGAAATCCCAAGTTTATCCCAGATTTAGCACTTTAGCATTCCTATGATAAAGTTAGATTGATATCAATGAAGATAAATCTTTTTTTTTTTTTCTCCTTTAGGTAAACTAATAAATACAAGAAATATGGTATCTAATAGAAACAAGGCCACAAGAGATACATCAAATATTGATACTTTTTTTTTTTCTTTAACTAATGAGATATGACCAGTCAATTATCATATTGATCAGGTTACCTCTCTCTATTGCATCCTTCCGTAGTATGATTTAAGTAAGAAGATTTAAGTTTCCCAGTACTCCTGAAAAGCAGGAAAATCATATGATATATTGGACCCAAGTGGCCTATCAATTTATACCTGAACACATGGCTGACCAAAACAGAGAAAATCACAGTAGCAACAGTCATGAGCAATCCATCACAGATGAGATTTGTAGGAGAGGAGGTCTGTGATCAAAGGCTGCAGGATTCATCCTTCCCAGCCCTGCCACCTCTGGGGATCCGTCACAAGCCAGGTCAGACTGTGCCCCTCTGGGAAACTGGGGGGCTGGGAAAAGGAGTCAAATTTGTCTGTTTTAATGGGAAAACAAACAAACAAACAAACAAACAAACAAAAAGTCTGTGCAAAACCACATTTAGATCAGTAGGAAAGAAAAGACAGCCAGGCAGCTTTTGAGATGGACTGTATTTTAACTTTAGGCTTATCTTTCAAATTCAGCCTATGTTGTAAGTGGTTGAAACTTGCTGCTAGGGTTTATCTTTTACATTTGGGCTACTTCTTAGTAACTAAGTGGCTGCTCCAGGGGGTTGTTGCTGCCTTTCACCACTAGTACAGTCTTAAAATGGCAATAGTGGCAAATATTTTCAGAAGATGCCAGCCTGTATATGATACACTGGTTACATTGAACAGCCAAGAAGTTCCCACTAAGTTTAAAACTAATAGTTCAGCCAGGTAACTGGAAGAATGTGGCCCTAAGAACCTTGCTGTTCTGTATAAACAGGCTGAGTAATTCACAATTTTAGTCTCTCATTCAAAACTACATGTAGTACAGATTTAGCTAGAAGGAAGAATGAAAACTATGTTCCACTGACTGCAGGTAACATAAATGGACACATCTAATTGTCATGCTATTGCTCTACACTGCTTTCTAGGTCTGTCATAAGCTTTCTCATGTCTTATGACAGTTTGGGGCTGATGCTTCTTGGTCTTGTAAGATGTCAAGTTATATTAGATCAGTAATCCCTTGTTAGGTAATATGGTACAAGACACTGCCACTGAATTAATATGGTGCAGAAATATTTTCAGTTTTCTTTTCCCTGGAAATACCCATCATTCTTAGCTTTCTAAAAAATAATGTTGAGATACTGTATGGTGGAAAGGAGGGTAAGAGCAATGATTATGCAAAAAGGTTGAGAAACTTTAATGACTTGTGAAAACATGTAATTAGGGATTAGAAGCCCACTCAGGAAATTTTTCATGTTGAATTACCACGCCACTCAAAGTATGTATTTTAATTGCTGGGTGTAGTGCATACATGTAATCCAAACTGTTGAAAGAGCATCTGCAGTAGTTACCACACTGATATGCAAGCCACAAATCCTGTTGTTGAAATAGGTTATTCATGACATGCTCTGTCTGTGAAGGTGGGTTTGGGGGAAAAATGAACATCTGATGTTCTGCTTTTTCTTCTCAGCATTAACCCACTGACATTAAACTCAGATATTCATTAAATTTGTGTTTAACATTTTATATCTGCACATATTTCCTATCCATTTATAGCCATCATGTAGGGATGATGCTGTAAAAAAAGCCATCACCTCACTGATACTGTCATGAGCTGAGCATGCCATCAACTTTCAGGGGGAGCTTCTGTGGATGATGGAGGACCTGACCCTGCTTCACAGAACCAGAGAATAATTCAGATTGGAAGGAAACTCAGCCCAACCTCCTGCTCAAAGCAGGGACAACTATGAAGTCAGATCAGGCTGATCAGGCTTTCACCCCACAAGGTCTTGAAAGCCTCTGAGCAAGGAGACTATACAACTGCTTGGAGAAACCTGTTCCCTTGCCTGACTGACTTCACGGTGAAACAGTTTTTCTTTATATCTAGCATTAAATTCTCTTGTTTCAAATGTTGTCCTTTGTCTCTTGTCCTCCTACCACTCACCACTGTGAACAGACTGGCTCCATCTTGACAACCTCCTTGTGGGCACTGGAAGGCCTGTAGCTCCTCCTGAAACCACCTCTTCTCCAGGCTGAACAAGTCCAGTTCCATCAGCCTCTCCTCACAGGACGAATGCTCTAGCCCCAGGCCATCCTGGTGGTCTTCCACAGAACACTCTCCATATTATTGACACTTCTCCATATTATTGACACCTCTCTTGTAGAGGGGTGGGTAGAAGTGGACACAGTATTCTAAATGCAGTCTAACAAATTGTGGGTAGAAGAGGATAACTCCCCTCAACCTTCTGATTATCTTCTGTTAACAGCCAAGTTGGGTCATGCTCAGCATGCTGTCTGCTGTGACCCCCAGGGCCAGTTCTGCAGAGCTGATCCCCCAGCTTGTGTCATTGCCGTGTCATTCTCTTCTCCCAGATGCAGGCCTTTGCATTTGTCCTTGGTGAATTCCTGTTGCCCTCAGGCTTGTCTAGGTCCCTCTGAATGGCTGCCCTGCCCTCTGGTTTATCTGTTGCTCTCTCCAATGCAGTGTCATCTGCAAAATTTATAAGCATGCACTCCATCACCTCCTCCAAGTGACTGCTGGAGGTGTGAAACAGGACAGGTTGCAGGAGAGACCCCTGTGGTGCTTCCCTTGTCACTGACCTCTTGCTAGAGCACAACCCATTAATTACTGCCTCTGAGGCTCACTATCCAACCAATTTTTTATGCATCTGTTCTTCTACCTATAATGTCCTAACTTGGATACTACACTGTTGTGGGAGACAGTGTAAATGTGACATCCACTGCTCTCCCCTCCTTCACAATTCTTGTGATTTTATCATAGAAGTTAAGGAGATCAGTCAGATATGATTTATTTGTTTGGTACTGTGTCTTGGGAAAAAAAAAAAAAAAAAACAAAAAACAAAAAACATGCAAGAGAATTAAGCAAGCTTAGTATCAGGAAGAAATTCATACATGCTCTCAAAGCTGTACTTCTACCATCAAAGAATTTAAAATATTCTATGATTTATAAGTAAAATACAACTCAGATCTTTAGAGAAGGCCACAAGCAGCAAAGCAATGACTAAAGCCTATAAGTAAGACCATGGTCTTGTCTTGCTTAAGAACCAAGGAACCATGGAAATCAGCAGCTATATGCAGACTAATAATTCACTGCTCGAGCTGTTCGTGGGTCCTGGAACAGGAACGACTGCACTGTTAGCATGTTCACTGGCACTAGCTGGCCTGTGCCAATAAAAACTCTTTGAAAGAATTTCTGGCCATAATTTGGCATCTGAAACATCCCATGGGCTGTTCCCAATAGGCTATTTGTATGCAAACACCCTGTTTTAGGGACCAGGAGTTTACTAAGGTAAATGTGGTCTGTTCCATGCCAACTGGCCCCAGAACCCAGAATGTTCCCAGGTGCACTTTGTCAGCTGTTACATATTGAGCCACTGCAAGCCTTTCCTCTAGTTCAACTCATTCAGATATGACTGTCCTCTTTAACGCGTGACTCTTTCACTTATGAAGATTTCATAACTGAGAATCACTTGCATAATATGCAACTTTTCTGGGGGAATACTCATGCTAACCCAACCAAACCACATCAGTTAATACATGTGTGTATTTGTGAACGTGAACATTATTCCACATTAATTTTCAAAGCAAGCATGTACAGAAGCTGGCTTGAATCTATTTTATCTCAAGCATGAATAAGCACCATCTCACAGCATTTCCTCCCTTATCTGAACAGTATCACTAAACTTATGATACCCAGGTCCATACAAAAAGTTAAATTCATCCCTCATCCATGAACATGCTGCCCTCATTGATGTTCCCACAGTGCTGAAAAGCATGAAATAACATGATGAGAGAACTGCTACTCTCTAATACAGAGAGAACAGGGACTTTCTCCAGTCAGGTCAGGGTGATATTTCAGAGTCACAAGAAACACCCAGGCCCCATTAAAGATCAATGAGGTCCACCTGACCCGATGTGGTGTCTTGCAGGCTTTAGAAAGTGGGATAGTGAGTCCATGCTAGTATGAAACATGGAGTGCAACATAGGGCTTAGAAGGTTGCCCATCCATTTACCTATTCACTAATTCCTGCAGGAACTAGTTCCTCCAGGACATGATCATACACAGACACCCCAGGTGTCTTCAGAAGACCAGTGCTCCTTCGCAGAAGATACACAAACAGGGAACAGCTTGGACCTGGATCCTGCCTTAAGGAATAACTGAAGCATACTAACCAAGATGGTGAAAGAAAGCCCTAATAAGATCAGACTTTTTGTATTGCATTAGATTTTTCAATAGCTAAACAGTCCCACAGATGTGCTGAACTATGAAACACAAGAGGAAAGACATATTTTGTCAGTAATCTTTATATAAATGTAACACTAATACAAAAACATCAGTAATGGGATATGGCTTAAGTGAAAACACGGTCAGTTTTCTGTGAACAAAACAGTTCGTTTGCTGAAATACTAGACTTTTTATTGAATGAGTAGTACTATTTATAACAATGAAACTTCTCTTTTGACAAACCTGGTAAAATATTTTCTTTATCAAGAAAAGAAGAAGAGGAAAAAATTACCAGCTTTCAGTCATAATTTGGTGTGCCACCAGGAGATGTGCAGTGAAATCATGCAGAGATCCTCCAGCTACCCCTGTCCAAGCGAGGAGCAGCATGGGACGCAGCCGAACCCAGCTGTGCCCACTGAATCACTACGTCTGTTCTTGCTCCACATAAATGTGCCAGTTGGTCATGCTTGATTTGCTTCTCATATATGCTCGTATATATGAGCATATATATGCTGGCTTACCCTACAAAAACAATCAGGATCACAATAAAAAAAAAAAAAGTGACAGCACTTTAGTGTAGATATGCCTTAAGCCTATGAATTGGACGAGGCTGTTATCAATCAAACACAGATCTCTTATGTACACAACCCATACTTCTTCCTGTATTCAAGAACTCCTCCAAATCTATCTGCCTGTCTCTTCAGCTTACAGTGATGACTCACTGATTACATTAATGAAAAATGAGAGGGCTGCATCCGTTTGTGAACAACTAAGAAACAACAACAGACTACATTTTCCACACCCCCACCCCCACCCTTTTTTTTTTTTTTTTTGAACAGAGCAGTCAGGTTTGCATTATAGTACCTGTTTCCACAACAGAAAGCTCAGACTGGAAAGTGTCTGTCTTCCAGGTTTTCAATCAGTCTCCTTGTGATTCCATATATTTCTGGCTGTTCAAAGCAAACAAAACACACTTTGCATCAGCAAAGTCTAGGCAAATATATATATATACACACATATGCTTACTTGCAAATGTGTATAGAAAAATATGAGACAGAAGTGCCTTTGTCCTTCCATCAACTACAAAGGGAGATTAGATAGTGAGATCATCTGTCAACATCTATCCCATAAATGTTTAAATATGGACAGATGAGAGTGTCATTGCTTTTCTGGTTCCTTTTTTCTGTAGATTCAAGACTAGATGAATAACCGTTTACCAGGAGGAGCATGAACCCAGCCACTGGAGAGACAGAAAACTGTCTTCATGCTTAGTCAGCAAGTAGCAGGGAAATTAGGGGTTGGTTTTCTTGGATTCAGCATCCTTCACATTTTATCCTGAACTATTGTATTGCACTGTCATCCTTGTATAGGCTTCCTAAATTCTTTGTGTGCTTTGAGTTCTCTGAACTTTTAAAACTATTGTATAAATAACAACTAAAATAATAAGTTTTTAAAAAAGTGCTCGGAAGCTCATAGAAGTCAATGTACAGATACCAGTGGCTGCAGAGGGCTTTACACCATGCCTCTTTACACAATTTTCTCTTCCCTGAATTCTGTTTGAAGAGAGAACAAAACCGAAATGTCTTACAAAAGAAATAACTTCTTATGCCAATGTAAGAAAACTCTTAACATGTGCCTGTTCAGGAAATTCAGCTCTTTGTGGAATCAAATTAAGAACTTTTATGCCTGAAAGATAAAATTGAACAGAAGCTCTTTGTGGAAGGCTTTCCAACTATTTATTAAAAGAGTGCAGGGCTGATATAATATTATCCTGCCTCAATTCTTTGTTTTCCAGACTACTGTGCTGTTATATTGTGCCAATACATTTTCCAGGACTGGTCTTTCCACTGCGCTTTTCTCATGATAGCACCACCTGGAGGTCTGTTTCCTTCATGCTAAGCACTACACAGCTGCCCTCAGGAACATCAGATCTTGCAAATGCCATTCTAAACTCCATAGTAAGTGACACCTTCATGGACGTTAAGTTATCTGAAGACAGCATGAGCAAAGTGCTGGGCAATTCTGTGAAGGAAAATGAGGCTAGATGTCAGACTCATACCATGTTAATATAAAGTCAGTGATTGCTGGCTTTAGGTGATTTCTGAGTAACAGGACTACAAACGAATTGGCAGTATAACTGTGATCTCTCGGAGTTCTACAGTGGCATCATCCATGCATAAACCTACAGACTCAGGTGTACAAGTAAAAGTATTCAGGCTGCATCTGTGAAGGAAACAAGACTTTTCAAGTACAGAACTCCTAACCATAAAATAAGTTTTCCCTTTGTAAAAATATTTTTTCATATGTCCTCTGCCTTCTTGAACTCCCTCTATATAATAGTTTTTACCACATCAGAAAATATTTTTTTAAGGTTGACTTAAAAAAAAAATAAAAAAGTGGTTTCAACTAATACAGTTCTTTTTGCCATCATAGAAAGAGCTATTTTTCTGTTAGTATTTCCCCTGCAACCCCCCTCCACCTCCAAAACCCACAGTGGGTTTAAATGTGGTCTAGCCTATAAAGCACAGACACAGAACAAGCAAGGACAAAGGAAAAGAGGGAGCAAGGACCTGTCTGAAGAAAGGGAGATCATAAAATCACTGGCACTGTAGCTTAAAAATGTAGCAAGAGAGCATCCCAAAACTCCAAGGAACATGGAGTACCTGAAGATATGTGGGGACTGATGATAGCACAGTTTACCAGCAATTTTCTTGTTCCTGAAATGGATACAGCGCAGGAGTTACGTGCAACTACAAAGCTGAAGTTGTTGAAGAAGGTATCATGATGTGGTATAAATGTGTTGAATAAGCTTCCGTTTTAAATACTTACAAAGTCACAGGTTTTTCTAGAATGGAAAAATTATAAAAGAAGTGTTGAGGTTATTAAAAAATAAATAATAATAATAATAATAAAAAAAATCAATAGAGAGAGCTGTAGGGTCTTCTTTGCTGTCTTTTTTCAGGTGTTAGATTGCACATACCCAACTTTCCTCAATTTGATTACAGAGGAATAATAATCAAAATATAAAAATATCATATAATAGTAAATATTTAATATAATAAAATATAACCAAGAAGGCTAGAATGGTTAAGTGATGAAAGCTGTGATTCTACTTTCAGAACAAGGTTTCATAGGAGAAATGAGCAAATAAACCATGGAAGACCATCAAGGTGAGCAACACTGTGAGTGTTTTTGATTGCGTTTGTGTTGATTGTAGAGTTTTAATACTTTTTGTACTAGGTAACCTTGAAATGCAGGGGACAGTTGACCTGTACAGGGAAGTATGCAAGAATTACATAATTATGTACAGGGACCATGAGAGGGGAAAAGCAAACAAATCTTCTTCTCTGCAGTCATAATTTTGTTGAAAGTCAACCAAAGGAAAAATTCCAAATTCCAAATTACCATCTAATTTTGTCACTGCCTCTGAATTAGAATTAGATCAAGTATGTCTTGATGGGGAGAATATGAGGGAACAACTGTTTAATATTAATATTAATATTAATAACTGTTTAAAACTGGGTAAAAAATTGGCTGGATAGCTGCACCCAAAGAAATATGGTCAACAGCTCAATGTCCAGGTGGAGATCAGTGACAAGTGGTGTTACTCAGTGGTCAGTATTGGTACCAACACTGTTTTACACCTTTGTCAGTGACATGGACATTGGAATTGAGTGCACGCTGAGCAAGTTTGATGATGACACCAAGCTGTGACATGCAGTCGACATGCTGGACGGAAGGGAACACCATCCAGAGAGACCTGGACAGGCTTCAGAGTTGGCCCTGTGTGATCCTCATGAAGTTCAACAAGACCAAGAGCAAGATCCTACACATGGGTTAGGGCAATCCCAAGTACAAATACTGTCTGGGTGGAGAATGGATTGAGGAGGACTTGGGGGTGTTGGTTGATGAGAAGCTCAACATGAGCCAGCAATGTGTGCTTGCAGCCCAGATAGCCAACCATATCCTGGGCTGCATCTAAATAAGGGTGGCCAGCAGGTCAAGGGAGGTGATTCTCCCCCTCTGCTCTGCACTCATGAGACCCCACCTGGAACACTGTGTTCAACTCTGGGGCTCCCAGCACAAGAAGGACATGAACCTATTAGAATGAGTCCAGAGGAGAGCCACAAGGATGATCAGAGGGCTGGAGCACCTCTCCTATGAAGACAAGCTGAGGGAGTTGGGATTTTTCAGCCTGGAGAAGAGAAGGCTTCGGGTAGACTTTATATCAACCTTCCATTACCTAAAGAAGGCCTACGAGAAAGCATGAGAGGGATTCTTTGTCAGAGAGTGTAGTGATAGGACAAAGGAGAATGGCTTTAAACCAAGAAAGGGTAAATTTAGATTAGATATGAGGAAGAAATTATTTATTATGAGGATGGTGAAGCACCAGAACAGGTTGCCTGGAGAAGCTGCAGATGCCCCATCCCTGGAAGTGTTCAAGGCCAAGTTGGATGGGGCTTTGAGCAACCTGGAGGCATCTCTGCCCATGGCAGGGAGGTTGGAACTAGGTGGTCTTTAAGCACCCTTCCAACCTAAACCATTCTATGGTAGCAATAAATAATTTATGCTACTGTAATACAAACCAAAAGAGGCTAAAACCAGAGCAGCATGTGGCAATTGTGCTACTTGAAGTTTGTCTTGTTCATGCAGTCATGAGGTCTAAAAATGCTAATGGACCAGCTCAGGCAACTAAATCTAGTGCAAAGCATCCTCATCTATTGCTGCTTTTAGCCATTAACACTTTCCCAGCTGGGTGTGAAAGGTGGGATAATTTTACCTGCTCAGAATAAACAATCTTTCAATGTGCATGAGATTACACACTCATTGGCAGAATCTTGCAGTAAATCTTGGGTAATGAACTAAATGCTAATTGCCATGTATAAAGCATGAAAAAAATAAATTCCATATTTAGAAAAGCAAATATAATACTATGTGCTTAAAGTTAAGCATCGTCTAAGAAGAAAATAATCATGGCTTCAATTTTCCTGCCCATAAAATGGGCATTTAAAATGGGAAAATAGCCATTTTCTGAATTACTAAAGGATGTTTAGATGGGAGTCTCTACATTAGGGCACGATAGTGTTATTTTCAATCTCTCTGCACACAGTATTAAGTGCAATCCTTCCAAGAACATAACCTGTCTACTATACCACAGAGTCAAGTCTGATTTAAAAAAATAAAGGATAGTGAGTGATCAAGCACACATTACAGCTGTACCACTGGGTCAGTAAGTGAGAAGTTAAAATAAGAAGTTCATTCAATAAAATATTGATTCTGGAAACGGATTACAGGAAATCATACTATACCACTAACTTAATTTAAGAGCATTTATATTACAGGAATTATACCAATATATCAAACACAATGCCTTCAACCTTAGTTCAAAAGAAAATTTTATCTCTAAACTTTAACAACTGGGCTGCAAATAATTCAGATTATATGGGCAGCATTTTAGCAGCCCATTTTCATCTTCTTTAAAAGCAACACTCTAATGTATGATGGTTAAGGATCAAGTTGGGATTATGTGAAGAATGTTAAACGTATACCAAATAGTACATCTGTTTTGAATAAAAGATGTTACATAGAGTTCCAGTTCATTTTTGTTCAATTCTGCTGTACGTGTTGTAGCTGCTAAATGAAACCACGCATAAGATAAATACATCACTTAAGCAACAGATTGCTCATCAATTGTCTGACATTTTCTGAAATATGTGAGTTAAAAATACTTGGGGGCAAAGGCTTTTCTAGTCAGAAAAAACTGTTCCATGTTCTCTTGTGGCTCATTCTTCCACTTCTGGGCTGCTACCATTGTCTCTAGGCTGGTGCTAGATCATTTCCTCCATGGTGGGAAAGCAACAGAACTTACTGCAAATGCTCTGCTCATTTACAAAAAGATAGTCTGACTCAGGACATGTTTGCTGACCTGTCAATCTCCAGTCAACAAACAGGTTGTTCCCAGTAAGACAACCACCAATGCATTCTATTTGATTT